GTACTTACCACAGGGTGTGTTCCAGCATCCAGGAACACTTCCATTCACTTGATGACAGTGGGGGTAATACTGTGTGTCCAGCCTCGTTTCTGGTGTATTTTTGTAAATGTAGAAAAGTTATCAATTCCTGTTGGGCTAGTTCCTAAACCACAGTTCATTTTTAATGACTAATATGTATCCTTTCTACATCTGATCAGACCATACAGAATTCAGAGATTTCAGTACAAATTATGATATTCATTCTTGCAAGTGTATTTATTAGACTCCCCCTCACTGAGTCCCAAGTCTTCCTGTCAGTGTAAGTACTGGCTTCATTGTGTATCAAAGAAACTCGGCTCTTAAGCTAATATGACCTTTCCTGGTTTTATGTTAGAATTTCAGATACTATTTCTTCTCCATGCTACCTTTGGTGGTTTAAATGATAATGGACCCCATAGGTTCTTATATTTGAATACTTGAACTCCATAGGTGGCCGTTTGGGAAGGATTAGAAGGTGAGGCTGTTGCAGGATATTTGATTACACTGTATGAAAATGTGATATTGTGGCTGGTTTAATAAAAACCTGAGCAGTCAATAGCTAGGCAGGAGAGGATAGGTAGGACTTCTGGAAGTAAGAAAGATGCAGAGCCAGATGGATGGATCGTACTGAGGAGAGGTAAAATGTAGATTCATAGAAAAGGGTTAATTTAAGCTGTAAGAACTAGTTGGTGTAGATGGAAGTTTCTGTCCTGCCCAGTTCTGCAGCCATTCAGTCCCCAAGAAACACACAGAGGCTTATACCAATCATAAATCATTTAGTCTATTAGCTCAGGCTTATTATTAACTAGGTCTTATAACTTAAATTAATCCATAATTCTTGTCTATGTTAGCCACGTGGCTTGGTACCTTTTATTAGTGAGGCATTCTCATTTTGCTTCCTCTGTGTCCCTCTGATGACTGCAAACTGAGCCTTTCCTCTTTCCAGAATTCTCCTAGTCTGGTTGCCCTGCCTAGACTTCCTGCCTGGCTACTGGTCAATCAGTGTTTTATTAAACTAATATAAGTGACAAATCTTCACAGGGTACAAGAGCACTATCCCACAGCAAGTTGGAACTAAGGACAAGCTTTTATAATTAATAGTAAGTCTTCTGTATCATGTTGGGGCTGGAAGTCCAAATAAAGTTCAAAAAGAAAGACCTGCTATATGTGGAGGACATATGTTACTGGGGTAGAGTGCAGGGTTCAAGGTTTCAAAAGACTCTCACCATTCTGCATTCTCTCTCTCTCTCTCTCTCTCTCTCTCTCTCTCTCTCTCTCTCTCTCTGTTCTTTCAGTTCAAGGAGCTCCCAGCTTTTCCTGCCACCATGCATTCATGGACTCTGACCCTCTGGAACAATAAGTCCAACTAAAAGCTTCCTTTTGTAAGTTGCCTTGGTTATGGATTTTGGCCCAGCAATAGAAATGCAACTAACACATCTCCCATGTCCTGGGGTAGTAAACATAACTAGAAGAAAAGAAATGAACAACTAGGAAATGTTAGGAGATGGGAATGAATCAGTGACTCACAGCACCACATAGCTAGCACACATGCAAGGAAGAAGGAGGATGTTTTCCATCATAGTCACTGCTGGATCTTCTCCTTGGATGCTTTCTTCTATTCTCGTCCAAAAACTGTAGTTTAAGTCATAGGGAATTCATCATCAGCTTGATTGTTGCTCATTGATTCTGCAAATTTATCCCAGTAGTAAACCACAATAGATACTCAATAAACATTTTCTGAATGAACAAATAAAAGAGTGTCCCTATCATATAAGCTTCAGTGGCCATAAACTTGGAGTGCAAACTTTTTAATAGAATGGCGATATGACTCCCGCATCAGTCTTCAGAAGTGTGGTTAATGAAAATTAGTTAACCACTATTATATTATGCTTTTTTTCCCTGAAGTCCGCAAAAATAAAGTAATGGTCTAAAGTAAGGTGCGGTATCTTTCATGTTTGCTATTGTTTGCATGCATCATATAAATCACAGATCATGATTGCTCTGATGGGTTACTGCATGGATCCTTCGTTGTAGAATTTAAATCATGATTTTTAAAAAGATTTAATTATGTTTTAATAATGTATATGTATGCACCCTCTCCCCAGACAGTGTTTTGCCATAGCTTTGGAGCCTGTCCTGGAACTTGCTTTGTTGTGTGCCATCACCACCTGGCCTGCACTTTTAACCTCTGAGACATCTCTCCAGTCTCTTTTAAGGAGTTATTGTGACTATCCGTATTGACATGCAGTTATACTTCCCAATGTCAATAGCTTTGTTTATCAACAGGTAACCAAAACTTTAGAAATGGCAAGCCATTATTTTCTAGCTTTCATGACCAAGATAACAATTTACTAATATAAAGATAACACCTTTTCTAAAATCGGCATATTTTGAACTCTGAAATATGATATATTACTTTATAAAATGCTGTGCGTTGTTATATTTTATTCTCAAAACATGTCAAACTCCCATTTAAAAATATATTTGCTCCAAATGTTAAGTTGATTTGGAAAAAATCAAGATACATATATTGCTTTTCGATGTGATTTCTGTAACTCATTGCTCTACTAATGTGCAAACCGTAGAGCAACAAGTACGCGTTTTCCTTTACCATTGATCGCCATAATTTGAATCAAACAGAATAACCATTTTCTGAATTCACAGTGGATGTGCGAATTTAGGATACTGCTTGCTCCAAAGCAGGAGGCAAAAGATGGCAGCAGTGAGTCATGCCAGACTCGGCAGCACACAGCAGCATTACGTCTCACTTTTCAAAATTATCTAATTGTGAATTTAATAATATCTCCAGTTACAAATTATTCTGAAAGAATAGAAATCATAAGTGTTTCAATGAAATGCAGCAGAGAGTAAATTAAGTCAATGTAGTCCAGAGCATTTCTGTTTCTTAAGTATCCCACACCCACGACAGGAAGGTCTGCTGGGACTGTTCGTGGGTGTTGCCACGGTGCACAATCAGCCAATGGAAATTTTGCAATTGCTCACAAAAAGAGGAAAGAAAACAGAATAAACAACTCGAACAGGGGCTTTGGAAGATCATTTTCTCACACTGAGTCTGTTGGGACATAAAATTGTGCTTATGTTTGAGGATAGAACCTGTGCACCCGCTACATACAATGACTGAATTTGCCTAACCTTTCCCCTCTCCCCACGGATTTACTAAGCTGAAGTACATAAGGTTTAGAAGAACAAGTGGCGCAGAGATGGCTGGGTAAGTGTGTTTGTTCTACAACCGGGGGAATCCGAGTTCGGATCTCAGCACCGGCACCAAAAGCCTGTTGAGCCCACACTCACGCCTGTAATCCTAATAGTGTGGGGTCCTGGGGACTGGAGGATTTCTGGGGTCTGCTGTCCTCCAGATGAACAAGTCCCAAATGCAATTGGAGCTGATGTAAATAACACCTGTAAATGACCACAGGTCTTCTTTAGCAAGAAACAGACTATCATCATCTGCAAGTGAGACCTAGTCTATCTGAGGTCAGAGGAATGACTGCCGTTGCTCCATCTTCCGTTTGTTCCTTAGCTTCCTTAATCTGTTTAACTTTCCGTTACAGTTGTCTCAGGCTTTAACTCCAGAGAATAAAAGAGGATAGCTCAGTTTTAATACTTGGATAATCTCTTGCAAGCTGAAGAGGAACGACCCTGAGATTACGGAGGCTGGGGACGAGCCACTCCTCTTATTACAAGTTCGTGCTTCCAGTAATAAGCACGAAACTGGTCCCAGGAAGGGGTGGAGTGGAGTGTGGGATCTTCAGGGTCTAGGGTGATGGGTAGCGGGATAATTACGAGAAGTATTTGTCCTGAATGTGACTCTTGGACTTTGCCACTTAAGAAGTCTGCAGCACAGGGGCATAGGAGAAAGGCCTGATGACCTGCCTTGGCACGTGACGCCGGTCTTGTTTTCCAAAGTGTGATTTTGCTTGCTAGATTTCCTCACTCTGTGGGCCAACGGCTATCTAATCAAGAGACATATGGATAACTCAAGTGGAAATGGAGAAAGCTGCACAGGCTTCCCTGGGGTCTGTGGAAGAGGAACGGAGTTTCCCTTTTAGCACGGGACAATGGGAAGAGGAGAAGGAAGAATGGTGGATGTGCAGAAGAGGACAACTGGGTAAGAAGTGAGACTAGGACGAGGAGAAATCGACAGTCTTTAAAGCTCTAGATCAGACAAGGCTGTTTCTCGCAGGAAGTTCACCTACATACCAGATTTGAAACCAGACTGAGTTTGCATAAGGAGAGAGTATCTGTGAAAAAAGCATAATCAGAACACTGGAGGTGGTGGAAACGGGGCCGACTCAGTGAAGAGAACCTCACAGACGTCACGCAATCTTCTCTTTGGAACCCTAGAATCTGCAAGAGCATCCATCTCCATCCCCATCCACTAGCTCACAAGGCTGGCTCGGTGCTCTCCTTAACTCTCAAGGTAGTCTAGAACCCCTCCTTGGTCACCCGTTTACAGACTGGCATCTGGCCCGCCAGAGTCTCCACACCTGTTCTAACCCCTGTGCCTCGCGTACCCGAGGATGCTCGGCCCTCTCCCAACCTGCTCCGCCTCCTCCTCCCCTCTTTGCTGCTGTGGCTGCCGCCGCGAAAACCAGAAGTGGAATTCGCGTGGCGAAGCGCCGCGCTCTTTCGGCGGCACTGGGCATGCTCCGCACCCGGGGCAGCTTTCGGCGGCGGCGGGGCGGACGCTCGCTCACTAGCCAGGCGCCAGAGTCGGCCGCCGGGGCTGAGCCGGGGGCTGAGCTGCTGCGCGCGGCGGGAGGAGCCTCGCTCTCGGCGGCGGCGGCGGCGGCGGCACAGGTGGCGCGGGCCGCGCGCAGGGCGCAGCTCGGGAGCGCTCGGCGCCGGGCGCCAGGGCGGCCCAGGCTCGCCCCCGCGGCGGCAAGCGGCCGAGCGGAGCGGCGGGCGCGGCGGCTCGGGAGCCCGGGCCGAGCCCGGGGAGCCCCGCGGAAGCCCGAGCAGCCCGCGGCGCCCGTGGAGTCGGGCAGGGGGCGCTACGCTCGCCGCGCTCTGAGGGGCGGCCGGGCCGGGCGCTGCGCACTCGCGTCGGGAGCCGCCTCTCGCCCGCCACGCTCGCCCCTGCTCCCCGCCAGCATCACTTGTCCCGCGGCCGCGCTCCGACAACAAAAGCGGAGGATGCTGCAGCTGGGCAAGGTCAGGACCTTGCTCTGAAGCCGGGCGGCGGCGCGCACGCCTTTCCCCCGACTGAGGAGCTGTCTTTGGCGGCGGGTGCATGTTCGCCAGGAAGCAGTCGGGCGCCGCGCCGTTCGGTGAGTTGCCTTCGCTGAGCTGCTGGAGCCGGGCGCATCCTCCGGGCGTCGTCCTCTTGCTTACCTCCGGTGGGGGTTGGTCCTTTGCCGCTGGCCGGGCCAGGGGTGGTGGTGGCGGCGGCTGAGGGGTGCTGTCTGCCTCCGGGGAGGATTGCGATCGCGCCGGTTCCCCTTTCGGAAGACTGCTCTACCCGGAACGGGGTCCGGGGCCAGTGTCTTTCTTGGAGCGGTTACCAAGTGGCTTCTCCGCGTGCTCCCCTCTCTGCCGCCCCTCTCCCCCGGAGGACGCGTATATAGGGCAACACCGACTGCTCCCCGCCACCCTCCAGAGCAACCCGGTTGCATTCATGACGTCCCTAATATACGGGGAGAAGAGGGGGTGGGGGTGGGGAAGACTTCCTTCCAGTCTTTTGCCCTTATGTTCAATGTCATTACGATGTTTGGCTAGAACAAAATGGAAAGACTTGGTCATTTGCGTCCATGGCCGTTTCTTCAGTCTCCCGCTGCTCGCCAGACCCAGACCCCTTTGGTCTATATTTAGCGTTTCCGAGGACGCATTTTCAGAGGGATTCACAGGCTTCCGGGGCTTCTCTGCCCTGACAATAGATAGCGAGGCTCTGGAAAGCGCTGCCTGACAGCCAGGTTTGGCAAGGGTGCTTGTGCTTGGGAGATCCGCGCAGCGATATTTGGGTGATTCGTAATTAATGGCTGAAAGCAAAGCTGCGCGTCGCTCTCCTCCCACCCGACCTTCCTCTTCTTCTGGTGTGTAATGTGTTCTTATCGATTGCTGCTCAGCAGGTTTGAGCCACTCTGTTCAGAATAAAGTCGTTAGGAAGGAGGTACAACCTCCTTGGTCTTAGGGTGGGGGTCGGAAAATAGACTTGGGGGGCTTAGGAGGTGTGTATCTCTGGATTTTCCACGAAGACCCACTTATTTCCCAAATGCCCAAAGTTGCGTATCACTGTAAACACCGGGGTAATGAAGGGTGTGGAAGAAGGGGATAATGGGGGAGGCCGTGCTTGCAAGGGGGTTTGTATTTCCCTCATTTGAACTGATCTGATGTGCTTTAGCTCTGCGAGGCTTTATAAATATGCATGCCTAATGTTCTCAAACAAATATGTTGCCTTAGAAAAGAGATATGTAATGAGCAAAAACCAGGCCTGGTAAGCATGACGGACAGTTCACTTTTAGGAACTGTGTGACGGATATGTAAGGTGTTGGGAATTTTCTGCATTGACTTCCATGAAAATGGGGAGGTGTTGCCATGCCTATGAGTTACCTCATTGTGCGCCCTTCCACTGATGGTAGTTTAGTTCATGTCTGCTGGTGGGGATGAATCTACATAATTAGAAGGCTCCCCAGTCACACTACTAAAAACCCCATGAAAGACTGTTTGATATGACTCCTTTTGGATTGCCGAAATAGGTCTGTGCATGATTTGGAAGATCCCATCTATGGGAAGTATGACCAATAGGGGCAAGAATCCTCGTGTATGGACTAGCTGCTTTCAACTCCCGGATGTCTCTTTCTTTAGTGTTTCTCTGTGCCAGACAGAATCCATTGTTAATGTTGAACAGTATGCTTACTGGTCTGTGGGTCGCAAGGTCTCGGGGCTTGAATGAAGATGGCTGTGTTTTGAATTAGTTGTTGAAATTTAGAAGGACTGTAATTATACCAATAACAAGTGAGCATGGTGGGCGCTGTAGCGCCAGAGGCTTCACTGCTCAAGTTAAGGGAGCACTGTGCTTCTTTCTACCAACATGCTGTACTTTCACCTTTATTCACATTTTGGGAACTTTACAGGAGCGCTTGGGGCACACTGTTGCAGTCCTTGCATTATATGAATGTACAGTTTCTCTCAGAAGCATGCCTTAGAGGGAGGAGGAGGGATGCCTTTCTCCCTTCTTCCCTTCCCTCTCTTCAAGTCTAGTGTTTCAGTCTGAACCATGGTTCTTAGAGTCTAGTTGACACCACTGTGTGGCCGCGTGCACCTTCAGGGAGCAGGTGCTGGGCACGAGGCTTTTATGTCATACTGTGGGTTGGAAATGATAGCACCTAACTGAATGGCAGTTGCAGCAAGTGCATGAGGTGGTTGCTGTAGTGAAACTGCCCTAGTCTTGCTGATAGGGGCTATTTAATTCTGTATGTGGTTGTGCAGTTGTAAAACCCGGTCATTGTGGATGTCACTGATGTTTGCATTGTTTATAATAAAAGTCACGCACAGTCGAATTACTGCATTGCCAGCCACTCTGCGTCTTTCACACTACAACAGAAGTCACCGCTTCTTCCTCCCAGTTCAGTAGTTCATCACAGAGAGGAAAAAAATGAAATTCAAATAATATTAGTTGGAAAAGGCAATTTGTAGTTTTGTTCAATATTTTCTAAGAATAATATCACTTTCATAATGGGATGTAAAACTGAAAAATAAACTTATAGTGTTCTCCAAGTATCTATCTCTTCGTGCACGTAATTGAATGGGTAGTGCCTCTCCCCAAAATGTAACTCTTTGATGTCGGACACACGTGTGGAATTGTTAAACAGTTTTGCACAGTGCTCTTGTATTTAGACAGGTCCTTCTTATAAAGGAAAGCCATCACTTTTAAGTTGGAAGTGATTTATAGTAATTTGTCTGTAAAACAAATTCTTTGTATGGATGGGTATATCTAGTTGCAACAAGCCAACTGAAACCAAAATAGAACATGTTACATCTCAGACCTCCCCAGAATGCACCTTCTGCCCTCCCCATTATGAATAGAATATGGACACGCCCTTCTTGGCGTTTCTCTTTAGGAATGGTGCTGTCCCTTTTAGCGGAAAGTGAGGTTTGGGTTCCTCTTTCTGACATAGTTTTCACTCCTAAGAAGATTCCTCATAATTGGACATATTTAAGCTCAAATTCAAACTATGAATACAATGCAAACATGTATTGCACAGTTATTTTATTTAAGCCAGTAGTTTGGTTGGAGGTGTCGCACAATGGGTTTCTGCTGACTGGGCTAATGAGTAAGTAAACTTTAGATCCAAATCCTCCCACTGGCTTGCAAGAGGGTTGTCATTGTCCACATTCCAAAAGTGAAGTTCTTCCATGGCTTCATGAGGTGTGTGTTGTTGTTCGTGAAAAGTTAATTTCAGTAAAACAGTTCACGATTCTTGTTGCTAGCTTCAAGTTTATCTGATTACATGCCAAAGTAGCAGCTTTTTATATGACTGTAGAGTATTAAACATGCCATACATAAATAGTTTCCATCCCATTGTCTGCCAATCCAGCCTACTGATTAATAAACTGCCTGGTTAGGTTTAATGAACCTGATTATGTTCACAAACAGTACCTCCAACACAGGGAACTCATAGACATATTTTATCATTCTGTGATTTTAGTTGCTTAAATTATGACTCATAACAAAATAAGGGATGACGATAACTCAAGTTCTTCATCTGTTTTGTTTTGTTATTCGAGACAGGGTTTCTCTGTGGCTTTGGAGCCTGTCCTGGAACTAGCTCTTGTAGACCAGGCTGGTCTTGAACTCAGAGAGATCCGCCTGCCTCTGCCTCCCGAGTGCTGGGATTAAAGGTGTGCGCCACCATCGCCCGGCTCTTCATCTTTTAATTACATGGCAGGTGAGGTGATTTCAAGGTCTTTATCTTGGCTAATTGATTTGTAGGAAATGGCTCATAGACATTAGGATATTGGAGTTATAGTCGGTATCAATTGTTTTTTGATGGGTTACAAAAAATGACCAAATAAACGAGAGAGCGAGTGACTTCTAGAACCTTCTGTGTTACACATGCATCCAGCCATGTCTCTGGTCAAGTTTTCCGCTGAAAGCTAAACTTATTTTTTATGATTATATATATTACTTATTACAATACATACCACTATTTCAGAATCATAAAACAGTCACAAACAGGTTGTAGGGCATGGCTCAGTTTTTCTGTATACTTATGACCTGCAATGAAAGTTATTAGAAAACTGAATTTACATAATGTAACTCTGTCTCATGTCTCTCCTAATAGGGAGAACACTGGCTTTTGAGTGATTGTCGACTGTTGTCTTTTAGCTGCTTGCCTAAGACTCAGCTTATTTATCTGTATAATGGGTCCAGTAAGGCAGACTATTACAACATTTTGATTTGAATATAAACTATGTGAATAAATGGCTTGTAGTTAGTTTTACTTATTAATTAAGATATATGCTTTAGAATAGATTATTAGCATTAAATGATTCCCATCCTCTCTAAGATTAGAAATTGTTTACTATTATTTTATAGAGACCCGCTATTGTAATATTATATTTTGTAGATTGACATGTAAAATGACAAATTTCCTATCTTGCAACATATATTTCCTATTACTTATTGGTCTATATAACCATTATGGTATAGGAAATTAAGTTATATCCTCTAGCACTATTTCTTTAAATGATTGCCATATCCCAGTAATCAGAAATTTCAAGGCTTTCATATTCTTTCTTATTGTTAACGTCAGACTCCTGATGAAGATCAAATTTTCTACAGAGATTAATGCTGTACAGCAAATATTATAGACTGTTTAATCAGCATCACTCTGTAAGGTCAGATATTAACCAGGTGCTCAATTTAAAGGCAGAGAGCTCCATTCTCAGCAAAAATCATTGTAAGGAAATAAAAGGAAACAGCAACAAAAACTGTCTGGAGAGGAGACCACATCCTCTGATGTTATCAGAAAGGGAGCCGAGGGCGCACATTGGCGCCATCTTGAACATCATTTGTCATGGTCATGTATTCCCTCATCCTAGGGATCTGCAGTGAAGACCCTGTGGGCTCTGCTTTCTCCTGGCTCCTTTGGCATCATTGAATTCCCCAAAGTCACTGCAGCTGTGACCTTCTGTAGCCCAAGTTTTGTGGTCATTACACTTGGATATGTAGTAGAATTTGTTAGAGACTGTGACCCCCGAGATTGACAGGAGAGACTAGCTTATCTTCAGTAGAGGAAGCATTTTGGCGATCAGCATGGTTATTTAT